GCCTCTTGGACAGAGGATACTGAATCCCAGAGAGTGCCTTGCCCCGAGGCTACCATGCCATATTAGCTGATTCTGGATTGCAGCTCTGGAATGTGGGTCGGCAAGGCTCCTATTCTGGGCTTTTGAAGGTCTGAGCATGGTCCTACAAGCAATTTAGGTAGCCTGAAGGAAGAAAGTGAAACTTCAGGTCTACGTTTCTATCCAGTTCCAGGCAAAATATCAGTGAGAGTCGTGGCTAATGTGAAATTGAGGCCTGGTTCTTACAGAACCCAGTGAATACTTAATGGGCTGTTTTTGCCAGCTGCTTTTCAAAACTTCTCTGTCATCAGAGCTGACTTCCCTTCCACCTTCCTACACCACCACCCCTTGATAATCCCTCCTGTGGCCAATAGCACCTGGGTCTTTTTCATATCTGCAATTCCCCCTGCCCAGTGTGCTCCCCTGAACTTAAGGTGACCTGAAATGAGTAAACCCAGCAAGTGGGGTAGGGGTCATAGCTGCCTGTTGTTCAGTGTATGGTTTTGCTGCTTTGCGGCCTAGAGGGGGCTGATCCAACAAGCCAAGCATATGGAGTGCATTAAGATTTTCCCTATATTTTCTTTCTTTGTGGTTCAGTTCAAGCCTGAAACCACAGACACCTGTGAAAACAAACCCAGCCTGGATGCTTGCTCACCAGTACTGTCTCTCTTTGTCTCTCTTATCTTCAGCCCCAGCTGTGATGCTTCCTGACTGATGATGTTATAACAGTGCCGAGAAGCCAGAAGGCTGCATTTTTTAGCTGAATACACCTGAGTTTTCCCCACCATCATGGAGACCCGAAAGGATGAAGCTGCTCAGGCCAAGGGAACAACAGTCTCTATGGATACCCAGGATCAAGGGACAGAGAAAGGGGCCAAAAACAAGGCATCTGAGACAACAGAAAGGCCCACATCAGAGCCACCCTCATCTGGTCCAGGTAGGCTGAAGAAAACTGCCATGAAACTCTTTGGTGGCAAGAAGGGCATCTGTACCCTGCCTAGTTTCTTTGGAGGGGGACGAAGCAAAGGTTCCGGGAAAGGCAGCTCTAAGAAGGCTCTTAGCAAGAGCAAGACCCACGATGGCCTGAGTGAAGCAGTTCATGACCCTGAAGACATTGTCAGTGAAGGAACCGGCCTCTCCTTACCTTTGCCTGAGTCATCATCCCGACTTCCCAGCTCTCAGAGTGTCCATGGGTCTTTGGAGACAGGCTCCAGATGCAAGAGGTCTGTGGCTGGAGCCACAGAGAAAGCTGGGGCTGAGAAGGCTCACTTTGTGCCCAAGCCAAAAAAAGGCCTGAAAGGTTTTTTCAGTAGTATCCGCCGTCACCGGAAGAGCAAGGTCTCTGGGGCTGAGCAAAGCAATCCAGGAGCCAAGAAGTCTGAGGGGGCCAGAGCTAGGCCTCATGAGTATGTGAGCTCAGCCCTTCTGTCCCACAATGATGAGGTCCTCCAAGCCCCAAGAAAGGAAAATGCCAAATCCCAAGATGTCCCTGGGCCGAAAGTTTCTTCAATATCAGAGACTTCTCCCGCAGCCACTGAGAAAGCAGCCTTTAAAGATCCAGAAAAAACCTTGGAGGCCTTTGCCTCAGCACTCTTGCAACCCAAACCTGCCCCTGAAGCCAGTGGCCCAGAGGAGCTCCATAGTCCAGAAACAGGGGAGAAGCTTGTGGCAGGAGAGGTAAATCCATCCAGTGGCCCTTTAGGGGATCAGCTGAGCCTCCTCTTTGGGGATGTCACATCTCTGAAGAGTTTTGACTCACTGACAGGTTGTGGTGACATAATAGCAGAACAGGATATGGATAGTATGACAGATAGCATGGCCTCTGGAGGCCAGAGGGCCAACCGAGATGGAACCAAACGAAGTTCCTGCTTGGTGACTTACCAAGGAGGGGGCGAAGAGATGGCCTTGCCTGATGATGATGATGAGGAAGAAGAGGAAGAGGAGGTGGAATTAGAGGAGGGAGAAGTCAAGGAGGAAGAAGATGATGATTTAGAATATCTGTGGGCAAGTTCCCAGATGTACCCAAGGCCCATAGTAAATCCAGGCTACCATCCCACCACATCCCCAGGCCATCTTGGCTACATGCTTCTTGACCCAGTTAGGTCTTATCCTGGCTCAGCCCCTGGAGAACTTTTGACTCCTCAGAGTGATCAGCAAGAGTCCGCCCCCAATAGTGATGAGGGTTATTATGACTCTACTACACCGGGACTTGAAGATGATTCAGGTGAGGCCCTGGGGCTTGTCCGTAGGGATTGCTTGCCCCGAGACAGCTATAGTGGTGATGCCCTCTATGAGTTCTATGAGCCAGATGATAGTCTTGAGAACTCCCCACCTGGGGATGACTGCCTTTATGACCTCCATGGTCACAGCTCTGAGATGTTTGACCCCTTCTTGAACTTTGAGCCCTTTTCTTCCCCTCGGCCACCTGGGGCAATGGAAACAGAGGAAGAACGGCTAGTGGCCATCCAGAAACAGTTGCTATATTGGGAGCTTCAGCGGGAGCAGCGAGAGGCCCGGGAGGCATGTGCCCAAGAGGCTCACACCAGAGAGGCCCATGCTCGAGAGGCCCACACCCGGGAAGCTTATGTCAGAGAGGCCCGACCTCGAGAGGCCTATGCCAGGGAGGCCTGTGGCCAAGAGGTCCGTGCTCGAGAGGCTCAAGTCCGAGAGGCCCAGGTGCGGCAGGAAAAGCCCATCATAGAGTATCAAATGAGGCCTTTAGGCCCATCAGTGATGGGTCTGGTGGAAGGGGCATCAGGGGCCTCTCAGACTTCCCACAGAGGAACCACCTCAGCTTTCCCTGCCACTGCAAGCAGCGAGCCAGACTGGAGGGACTTCCGTCCTTTGGAGAAGCGTTTTGAGGGAAGCTGCTCCAAGAAAGATCAAAGTACTTGCCTGATGCAACTCTTCCAGAGTGATGCTATGTTTGAGCCAGACATGCAAGAAGCAAATTTTGGAGGATCTCCCAGGAGGGCCTACCCTACTTATTCACCCCCTGAGGAGCCAGAGGAAGAGGATGTTGAGAAGGAAGGGAATGCTACTGTGAGTTTCTCTCAGGCCCTTGTGGAGTTCACCAGCAATGGGAACCTCTTCTCCAGCATGTCCTGCAGCTCTGACTCTGATTCATCCTTCACTCAAAACCTTCCTGAGCTGCCTCCCATGGTGACCTTTGATATCGCTGATGTGGAGCGGGATGGGGAAGGCAAGTGTGAAGAAAATCCTGAGTTCCACAATGACGAAGACCTTGCAGCCTCCTTGGAAGCTTTTGAACTGGGCTACTACCAGAAACATGCCTTCAACAACTACCGCAGCCGATTCTACCAAGGCCTACCCTGGGGTGTGAGCAGTCTCCCTCGATACTTGGGATTGCCTGGCATGCACCCTCGTCCTCCACCTGCTGCCATGGCCCTCAGCAGGAGGAGCCGCTCCCTTGACACTGCTGAGACCCTGGAGCTGGAGCTCTCCAATTCTCACCTGACCCAAGGCTATATAGAGTCTGATGAGCTTCAGGCCCAGCAAGAAGATTCAGATGAAGAAGAGGAGGAGGACGAATGGGGCCGAGACAGTCCCCTGTCTCTCTATACTGAACCTCCAGGATCCTACGACTGGCCTGCCTGGCCTCCCTGTCCTCTCCCAGTGGGACCTGGCCATGCCTGGATAAGTCCTAGCCAGTTGGATGGGCCTTCTAGCCATCCCTATGGGCAGGCAGTCTGTTGCATATCTCCTCTCACTATGTCAATGTTGCTGTCAGTATCAGGGCCAGAGCCAAGGGCACCTGGGGAATCCAAGTCTCAGCTAGCTCGGCCTTCGCACCTACCCCTGCCCATGGGCCCTTGTTATAACCTCCAGCCAAAGGCCTCCCAAAGTGTGAGGGCCAGGCCTCAAGATGTGCTGCTGCCTGTTGATGAGCCCAGTTGCTCCTCCATTTCTGGAGGCTTCAACCCCAGCCCTGTGCCCCAGACCAAGCCTGTGGGCATTACTCATGGCATCCCTCAGCTGCCCAGGATCCGGCCTGAGCCCCTAGAGCCTCAGCCCATTCACTATGGGGCTCCCAGCCTTGACCTGTCAAAGGAGAAGGCTGAGCAAGGTGCCTCTCTCCCCACCAGCTGCTCCTCCACTGCTATGAATGGAAAACTAGCTGAGTAGTTATCATCAGTTCTGGAGTGAGGGGCATGGGGCCTGAGCATGTGAATGGGGATAAGGGTTGGGCAGAGGGGTGGGGGTGGGGGTTGCTGTTTAACTTGAAAATCCTTTTGGCCAAGGAAAGCTCCTATGAGTTTTCACCTTTGTTTTCCCACTTCCCTTGTCTGCCATCTGTGGCCACATTCAGCTCAAGTACATCTGCCCTGAGAGATTGCTGCTTCTGTGCTCCAATTTTTGCTTTTGGGTGTTTTCCTTGTGACCCATGCAGGGTTTGAGATGCTCTAATTTTGTGCCTATTCCAATTGCCAAGGTAGTGATTTTATATATATATATATAAAATGCATCCTTGACACAGTCTGAACCTTTAGCACCTCTGCCGTTTCTCCATCCAGTAGATGAGCAGCCAGGTCTACATTGCCTCCCACTTGGGGACAAGGAGCTTGTTAGCTTGTTTGCTATTAGCAGTGTGAAATTATGGTACAGATCCTCCCCACTCCCACTTCCTTTGGTCTTGGCATAGCTGCCACCATCACATCAGATGTATAATCTAGTAGCCCCAGCTTGCTGTCCTCAGAGAGGATCAAGTAGCATGTGTCTCACTGCCTGTTCCTATGGACTTAGGCATCATAACCAGTGAGGGTCTTTTAACCTGGCCTGCTATAGCTTGGGTTGAAGACAAAAATGCTGATTTCCTTAATGTAATGACCAAATTCATCTAGTTGCAAACAAGACAAAATAGGGTTATATTGTAGACACTACCATAAGTCTTGAGCTCCAGAATGATAGTTTTTTTTTTTTCCTTCTTTGTTTCTTTAAGCTTGTGACAGCCTGAATTGCAGATGCTTTTGAATTTTGGTTCTTTTTTTCTCCAAAGGAAATTTTCGTTATCTCATTACAAGGAACACATTCTTTTAATTGAGATACGGGAAGAGAAGTGGCCTAAACTAGGCTCGGCTGTAGGGGATGGGATTTTTACAGGTTGCAGGAGAAGGATAGGAAAAGGAGATTCATTCATTCTTTTCATCAGGAGAGAGGATTTCATACATTGCAGAGCTCATGTCAACTCAGCTTCTGAAAAGGGAAAATTGCTTTCCCCCAAAGACAAAAAGTTCCTTAAGCCTTGCCCACCCTTTCACTGGATGCTTTAAAGAGGCTTCATGCTAGCATTCCCAAGAGACAGGACACCAAGGGTATTTAGGTTGCTGTTCCAGTTTTTCTAAAGAGCCTTCATTTTCCAATTAGCCAAGTTCTTAGTATCATCATAGGACTGGGCGTCTTGAGAGGAAAGACTGTGATCTGCCCTCGCTCTGCCAAGTTGAAGGACTCTGATTTGTGTGGTAATTGCAGCCCCTTATGGAAAGAATGGCACCCTTATTTCTGCATTCACACAGTTTTCATGTTAAACTAGCTTGAAAATATTGGTGAGGAAGAGTTGCTGTCAGGAAGACATTGCAACAGGCTAATCTTGCCAGGCTCTATCTCTCATTAATCACCAATACGGAGGGGTCCTTTTAAATTTCACCATTGGAAATGGTATATGAAACTTTTTACCTATATATGTTGACCCAAATTATGATCCTTGCTCCCTTGATCCTGTCCCCATCCTCCACCCATCTCCATGCCTATTAAGAGGTAGACAGGGCTCTTGTTATTCCAGAAGAGATGCTGTTGCCTGCCACCCCAAGTCAAGATGACTTTGTGGGAAAACTGCCCCTTGGCCATGGGATATGTCTGTGCTGGTCTTTGTCACCATTTTTTGGATTGGGGTTGGCCCAGTGCCCCTCCCCACAAAAAGTAAACCTGGATGGTAGAAGCTGTACCCCTGGAAGCACCACATGAATTTGCATGGCACCAACACCAACATTCAAGGGATGCAGACCAGCTCTCCAGGCTGACTTTGTCTGCATTATGAAGAAATCTGTCAATCATGAAGCTGGAGAATCAAAGAAGGTGAGAAAGGCCCTCCTCAACCCTAGCAAAGCATTAAGAGAGAAGTGCCCCAATTCTGGCTTCTCACCAAAGTTGCCCTGGGAGGGTGGGACTAAAATTGGCCTGGCTGTTTGGCAGGAAGGAGACACTCACCAAATGCCTTTACAAAAGGGGAACGCTCACCACTTGCCTCTTCTGTCTCTGCTTGTCCTTCAGGGCAGCTCAAGCTCCTGTTTGTATGTAGACTGTGCCAACCACAGCAGGTAGTAGAGCCATCACCAACCACCAGAGCCTGCTGGATCACCAGCCTGTCTGAAAAGAGAAAAAGTAGGTGGTCAACCTTTGGCCAAGGGCTGAGAGCTGCCCTCTGTAGCACAAGGGCAGCAAGAGGTGCCACCTCTGAAGGGGGCAGTCATAGCCCTGACACACATTTCTGGGCTCTGGAAAGTCTCATATCACAGTAAGTTTTAGGACTGAGCATCAGCTCATGGTTTGAACACTGCTGCCTGCAAGTCCTTTCACTTTCCTGGCCAGCCCAGAGACAGGATCCTCACAACCAGAAATAAGGCAGTCAGGGTGTATGGCTGCAGAAGCAGGCTCCTTTGAGTCTACTCTAGATCCAAGCAGTTCATTTCTGAATCCCAGCTGTGGCCTAGAAGAGGAAGGAGGACCAGCTGGAGACTTTGTGTGACAGCACAGGGTGACACTGGAAGAGCCAGCCAAGCTCTAGGCCCCTCCGCAAATATACACCAGTGTTAGCTTGGCTAACACCAAATATGTCCCAGGCTATTAAATGTGTAGATGTTAAGTCCACAAAGTCAATGTTTTTGGATGTGACTTCACAAGAAGGTACGACTTGGGAGAAGGTGACTGCTCTTATCTTGCTATCCAGCAAGCAGGCTTATATATAGTGTCAGATAGCTCTGATCCTGAGAATTCCCAAATGAGACTGATCCTTAAGGGACCAATGACTGGATAGAGAAGACCACCTAGAATGTCGCTCCCAGGGCTGTCAGTTTCTTTGTTTTAACGCCTTCAAGGAAACCCTGCCTTGGGGCTCTTTTAGGGCCTGCCCCAATCATCTGGACTCAACTTAGGCAACAGTCCACGACCCTTCTGGGCCAGAGGCTTTGGTCAACACCAGTCTTTTCTCCCTCAATACTGTACCAAGGAGGGAAGTAACTTCCCACACCCAGGGTGCATTCCCCTCATCCTGCTGCCAGTACTTTCCTCCCCTTGCCAGTGCTACCACCCCACCTGCCCTTGGCCCTCAGGCCCAATTGCTAGAGGGAGTTGGGGTTTAGCAGGGAGACTTCAAGTTTACCCATGTGTATGTTGCATCCAAGTTGTTTTTAATATATATATATATATATATCAAAAGTCAATTATCTATTTTTGTATTGTTTGCATTTTATATTCATGGAAAACAATGTATCAATTGTTCTTTTCTGATATATTTTATTTTTAAGCGGTGCTGTTTACAGTTTTAGACAAAACGAAGATGACACAAAAATTGCTGCTGCTTGTGCAGAGGGCTGGCATCTCAATTGCCCAAGACCCTCGCTCTTTCCCCTCTCCCCATCCCTGATGTATCGCACTGTCCATCCCCTCCCTCCATGATAGGGACAGCATAAGATGCCCAGGTATTAAGACAAATGCCAGGTGACTCAGGCATGTGGAACCTGGTAGATAGCATGTCTTTTTATGGTTTTATTTTTTTCTTTCAGACTCGCCCTTCGCTGTGTGTAGATCTTCTAGAAGTACTCATGTCTGTGTCTCTCTCTTTCCTCTTTATGTTTTCTACTCTAGCTTTGAAACTAGAATGCCCATGTTTTGCTATTTGTCATGTTGGGTTTCTCCAAAGAGCATTTTGGGGGTATTCTCCACCCAGTAAGGAGGGCAGGAGATTTCTCAACTATTCCCCATTTCCCCAAGAAGCTGGGGGACACAAATGAAAGTGATGCTTGAAACATCAGGAATTGGCCATCTCATTGAGGAAACCCTTACATGGGACTTTCCAAGGAGCTCAGTTGATTGTGACATTCACCCAGAAGAGACATTGGGGAATTCCTTGACCCCGCTTGCTGCTTTGGGGGAATCTCTTCCTCTACCACCATTCCCACTCCCCTGCTGTGCTCCAGCTCACACATGGATGGAACTTTGGGGGAACAGTGACTATTAGGGTGATGGCTTGCTGGCCTGATTACCTACTTTTCCATTATATAGTCACTCCAAAGAAGAAAATTCACATGGCATGTGTGTGTGTGAGGACTGGACCTACTGAGAGGCGGGGCTTTAATTATTATTCTTGTTACTATTGGTGCTTATTTTCCCTGATGTATATGGGGGTGGGGCGGGGTGGGGTGGGGTGGGGTGGGGTAGAGTCGGGTGGCGGAGGGGGGGACCAGGAATGTATACTTAGGTCATGTTAAATAAAATGGCTGGGGGACAAAGGAAAGAAGTTGGAAACTGCAGTACATCCTTACCCCAGGTGTAAGAGTTCTTTCTCTCCCAGTGAAAAATGGGAAGCATGGCCCCTGGATGTGCCCTAGCTTCCCCTTCCCTATCCCTGAGACATCATGGAATTGCCTGGATTGTGACCTCTCCAATCCTAGTTCTCATTGATGTCTGGATATCTTGATGCACTGCCTGTTTGTAATAACAAATATTTCTTTTACTGAATGTTAATAAACTGGGTTCAAGAGGGACCCCCGGTCACTAAAGCACATTCTTGTGGTTTGTTCCACATCACTATGCCTGTGACCCATGGTTGCTGGGTTTGCCCCTGAAGGGAAATGAAGAAAGCAAAGGGATGTGGGGTGGTCAACTGGCATGGGGGAAAGAAAACAGAGCTGAAAGTAAAGGAAACTTTAACTTCAGTTCATCCAAACCACGCCCTGCATCTCAATCTGATGATGTAGTACTCTCCATCATATTGCCCATGCCCTGAAACCTGCCAGGGAGCTGGCTTCTGAAATTAACCTCAGTTCATGTAAATGTGTTAGCCTCCCCACCAGCCGGGAGGCAGAGGTGTGAACCTCTTATCCATGGCTCCAGCAAAAGGATACATTTAATGGTAAGACTCTCAGGCCAACCTGAAAATAATAGCATCCTTTACTCAGGCCTATGGGCAGAGCTGCTGGCCAGACTGCCCGAGAGATGCTCAGGCCTATGGGCAGAGATGCTGGCCAGGCTCCCCCAGCTATTCAATTGTGCGGCTGAGTGAGGAGCATGTGGCTTCTGCCCTACTGCAAGTCATCTCATCTGTTGGCACCAGAGGTGTACCACAGCAACAACTTAGTCACCTGGGTCATATCCTGATTTCCAGGCCTTTTCTAGCCTAAGCAGTAATCACTTTCCCCCTTTCTATTACCTGTGCCATCAACTAGGAGAAGGGGACTGTGTTAATGGCTCAGATTTCTCTAATCCAAACTCTTAACCATTCGTCCCTGGTGAGCAAGGGTGTCTGGCATCTGTTGGTAGGCTTCCTTGAGTTCTGCCCAATTGCCATGTCCAAGCCAGGAGGACTAAAGTAGCTGCTTGAATGTGCTGTGGATAGTGCTCCTAGGCTCCTTGGGGCCCCTTTTCAGACTAAGATGCTTATTGGCCCCCAGGACTTCATGAATCAAGCAAAGCCAAAATAGACTCAAATTAGCAAGAGAGAAAAAGGAACATTCTGGGAGGGAAGTTGATAATGATGTATAGAAATGAAATTATCTGTCCTGGGCTCTCATGAAAAGCATCATTGCTCAGGGGACGTTTGGGGCAACACCTTCTGGAAAGGCCTTATTACATCCATGGGAAATTCATGGGGGTCAGGGAGGCTTAGATTTCTGCTGTAATTTTTGCCCCTCATTAATCAGTGAGGACTTGGGCAAATCCCTTCTCCTTGTGAGTCTCAGTTTCCCCAATAATAATATATGGGTGGCATGGACATACATTAGATTTCCCTGATGGCTCAGCAGGTAAAGAATCTTCCTGCAATGCAGGAGATGAGAGTTCGATCCCTGGGTTGGACAGATCTCCTGAGGGAGGAAATGGTAACCCACTCCAGTTGTTCTTACCTGGAGAATCCCCGTGGACAGAGGAATCTGGTGGGCTACAGTCCAAAGTGTTGCAAAGAGTTGGACATGACTGAGTGACTAAGCACACACACACAGCACATGGGCGTAGATTTGACTAGACTAGTTTCCATATGTAAGACACGAAGATAGGGCTACCCCCAAGTGACCTATGGAATTTTGTCAACTACCTAAGTCCAGCACACCCAAGCTATTTAATTCAGTTGGACTTGGGGGGAGTTCTATTGTGGTTCCCACCGTGACTGATGTATTAGACCTCTTTCTATTCTACTGTGACTAATGGCTGCCTTTGCTGTGACCCCCTGGGGAGTCCTTAGCAATACTGGAGAGAGCCATTGGTGGAGGAAATCTCTAAAGACCTTTCTTAGATCATCAAGAAAACTGCCTTGGTCAGCTGTAGTGCTATTCTCTGGTCTGATTGGACTCTGGGGTTGTGCGTAGTGAATGGCCCTTCTTTGTTCCTCATTCCTGTTTAGAGCAGATGGAAATCTGATAGGCGAGACATTTGTGCAAGTCTTTTGGAGGATGCTGTAGGCAAGCTCTGTACTGCCTCTACCTTGACTGGACTCTGGACCCCAGTAACTGTGTTCCTCTTCTCTCTAGATAATTCCTAGACTTTGGCTTGTATGACTTTTGGGGGCCAGACCTAGCCAATAGGAACAAGTGGCCTGAGGTAGCACTTTCTAGTCTGCAAATTCCTTCTGTCTCCATTAGTTTCTAAAAGGCCACTGAAGTAGTTGGGCAGAATGGATGACTTTATCCCAACTTTACAGATAAGGACATGGAGACAGTGAGAAGTGAAATGACTTGTTCATGGTGATATAGAACATTGACTGCAAGTCAGGATGGGTAAGAGGACGGGCAGGCTGGGGTGAAATATGTGTAAGAGAATACTACTAATAATTTTCCAAGCACAAAATAAATAATATAATTGATATGTGCCAGGCACTAGACACTTTAACTGCATTATCTTGTGTAATGTTTACCTTAACTGTATGAGGTTGACGTTATTGTATCTGCATTTTCAGATAAGAAAACAGAGCCTCAGAAAGGTTAAGACCCTTGCCAAAATTCACACAACCAGGTCATTAGACTTCAAATCTCCTGCTTTTTTTGTTGCACTTGTAGTGAAGCTGCTGTTTCGATGTACGTTGGGGTACTAGAGGTTGAATCTCAGCAGCAGGCCCAAAGTCAGAACATCCTAAAGCTAAATTGGACCTCTGGCTGCCTCTTTATCCCACTGAGCCCAGCCAAGCTTCCCAGCTCCAAGCCCAGGTCAGAGGCCCTTGTGAGCCCAGGGAGCAACTACTTTCCCCCATTCCCACCTCTAGCCTTGGATCTCTGGGAATTGTTCCCAGCCAGGTGGGCCTATCCCTTCTCCCATTTAAACCTGCTAATAAGCAGCCTGGGGACAAAAAGATGACTAGAAGAGTGAATCAATAGATGTGAGCTTGGAGAACTGGTGTCTGGCCACTCAGACCTTCACCATCAATTGGAGCATTTCCTCATGACGAGTTAATTGCAAATCACTTAACAGTGACGGTGAGAAACAGTCTCATTTTCTGGAAGAATAATTGCTGTCTGATGGGCTCTCGAAGGCTACTCTCCTCTGCTCCTTCAGTTTCTCTCCTGCTTTTCCACTTCCTCCCTCTGGATGCCTGAACATATTTTCTCTCAGCCCATGAAGAACCTTATGAGATTTCCAGTGGGCTTCTATGTAGAACCCAGTGCCAACAGGAAGTGGATGCTCTGTCCACAAATTCTGTGATTAAAATTAATATGTATGTCCTTCAAGAGGCAGAAAATGGAATGGACATCCGTGTCCATCCACAAACTCAGATGTGGGTGGGCAAGAAAATAGTCCTTGTTTGTTTTATTTAAAGTAACTGAATTCTGACTCCAAAACTCCCATTCAAGCAGAGAAACAGAAAATTCCATGTTTTTCATGACTGGGGACCCACTTAAGTTTGGCACTGGAATCCAAGGGGTACTTGTATTACCCAGAAGTTAAGGGCAACTAATCTCTAATCTATTCCAGTCACCACTGATATCCTCATTTTCCATGCCCGCAGTGATGGAAGAGAAGCTGAGAGCCCCAAGGTCCTAGGTCCTGCCTCCCTCTGGGTACCTTAAAACAATCTCCTCCCCATCTTTGAGGCACTGCCCTAAGCAGTTTTTGTGCTTCCCTACTGCCCCAGACTCAGGAGCTCTTCATTCCCACATGGGGCTGGGAGTGGGAGGGATCCCTCTTCATTTTTTTTTCCAGGGCTTTTCCTTGTCCTTTATGATTATATATCAATGGTGGCTTCATACTTTTATAAAAAGAGTGATAGAGTCAGTGATGTCAGCCTGCTTTGGCTTTCTACACTGTGAAATCCATCTTGCAAGAGGTCTTTTAAGGGCTTGGTTACCTCCATGTAGTGGGGGTATGGGGTGTGGAGATATAGAGGGGCAGCAAACAAATAAACATGAATATTTCCAGAAATTACCCTGCCACAAAATACTGCTTTATTGAAGGAAAAAATTATTTCACTGTTCTACAATTTAGGACAGAAAGATTTTAGTCCCTGTTCTACCTGCAACTGATGGAAACTTCATATCTCAGAGCCTCAGGTTCTTCATCCTTAAATGAGTTGGAGAACACAGAATCTCAGACTGTGGTCCTTTCCTCACCCTTTCCTTTTTGATGCTTAAATTCTTCCTATTTCATCTGTCTTGCTCCTGCTCACCTCCACTGGAATAGATTCCTGGGGCAGTTTTAATGCCTAAGATGTCCCTACTTACATTGAACTGGAATAGGCCTAGCTTAGTCCCTGGGAGTCACACAGATCCTATTTGCTATCTACTCTCTTTGCCCCATAACAGTCCTTCCA